TTGCCCCAGGCTGGCCCAAGAAGCCTTGAAAATGGACTAGAGATGGGTGTGTTGTGAGTACCCAAGCCTCTGCCACACACCCTCCAGGAACCTTCTCCTTCCAGGAGCCAAGTGTGCTGAAGCCCAGACTAACGCTGGACCCTGCTCTGGTCCAGGGATGTCACATGCCCTCCCTTCCTGGAACCCTAGGCAGAGGCTGCCTTAGCCTCCAGCCAGCTGGGTTGACATCAGCTGCACACACTAAATGAATATAGATGATTGGTTGTATTCATCTCGTTCTGTTTTGGTTTGTTGCCTTTTGAGTAGTGTCTCTCACTCTATCCCTGGTTGGCCAGAAACTGTATAACTCAGGCTGGCCTCAAACTTGGGGTGATCCTCCTGCTTCTGACTCCTGAGTGTTGTGATTACCACCCCTGGCTTGATTTTATTTATTCGTCCACGTGGTTATCTGCTTATCTCTTCAATTGGCACATCATTCTTTTATCATGCGGAAGTCAGGGGACAACTTCATGGAGTCACTTGTCTTTTTCCACCTTTACACAGGTTCCAGGGATGGAACTTAGGTCGGTATACAATAAACTAAATGGTCTGAACCGGAAACAGGATTTGGAGCCTCGGGTAGACAGGTCTGGCAGATGCAAAAGTGTGCATTGTCCTGTGTAGCTGGGCCACTCCTGTCTATCTCCATGAAAGGGGACAGCATGAAGTGTACACTAAACCTAGGTCACAGTGAACTCTCCTGGGAAGACAGACATCTGGGGTCAAGCCTGGATTAGGGAGGAAAGCTCACCCTGAGACTGAACTGGAAGACTGGCAGATAGCATGGAATGGTGGCACGGAGCCACCAGAAGGCATTTGTGGAAGCATCAAGTGTGTCCCCAGGAGGAGAGGCTAGACCACAGACTCTAAAGTGATGGACTCCATTGGTGCCTAAATCCCTATACCTAGGTGGCTTTCTCTGCTGTGTCCTCAGATCTTCCCAGTGTGGGGGGTGAGGGGACAGGATAGAAGAGTTCAGTGACTCTAGACAGGTGACCTAATGATTTGAGTTTCGGTGGAGTTCCCCACGCCACTCATTGGAAGCATGGCTGCTCTGGTGATGAAGAGAGATCAAAGACTCCCTGCCAGAGACTGGGGGTGTAACTCAGTAGTAGAATACGTACTTGCCTAGTGCTCGCAAGGCCCTGCTGGGTTCAGTCCCCAGCAATGCAGAGGCCGGACAGGGGTGATGCCCAGGAAAGGAAAAAAGAACAGGAGATGGGAACATCGGGTTTCTGTGTCTGGATCCCTGCCCTAGCTCCCACACTAGCCTATGGCCTCTCTGTGCTTCTGAGATGGACCAACCACCCTCCCCTGCCTTGATGTTGTCCACAGGCCTATGAGTGACTCTCTAGCTCCACTGACTCCAGGTGCTCTGGGTGTGCCCTGCACACCTTGCTGTTCCCTCAGGCCCCTTCTGTAGCTCACACTGTCCTCACACTGCAGGTCTGAGCCTCTGCACAGCTTCCCCCGCCCCCCTTACCTGATCTCCTACTCCTTAAGACACTCTTAAAAGCTTAGCACGCAAATGGATGGAACTAGAAAAAATCATCCTGAGTGAGGTAACCCAAACCCAGAAAGACAGTTATGGTATATACTCACTCATTGGTGGATTCTAGATATAAAATGAACAATCAGACCACAACCCATAGAACCATAGAGGCTATATATATAGCATGGAGGTCCCTAGGACGACTGTGACAT